ATTTTATAGCAAGGAGGGGAGTGATTAACTTTTCAGTCTAGGAGCGGAGGTCCCTAGGACCATCAAGGGAGAAGAGTGGAGAGCGGGACCCTACCCAGAGAAACAGTGATGCCTGAGATGGAGGCAGAGACGATGATGTGGGGAGATGGAGCAGCTGGGGACTCTAGATTCAGAGAGGGAGAGGGACTGTGTGCTGAAGACCAGGGGGATTGTGGGGGGCAGGCTTGCAGGGTATATCCTTTGGTTGGTTGATGAAGCATGGAGGGGATTTTAACCATGGTAATGAGGTGATATACGATAGAATTAATGTGAAAATAGTGTTCTCCCATGTAAACGATCACATAATTCACAATAAAACATTTAAAAAAAAAAATGGAGGAGCAGTTAATCTTACAGTCCAGAAACAAAGGACTCTAGGACCATCAAGGGAGAACAGCACAAGTGGAATGTGGGACCTTACCCAGAGAAGCAGCGACACCAGAGATAGATGCAGAGATGAGAACATGGAGAGGGGGAGCAGCTGAGGACTCTAGATTCATGGGAAGAGAGGGACTAAGAGCTAGTGGCCATGAGGCAGACTTGCAGAATGTGCCCTTTGGTGGTGTCAATTCTTGTATATGCCTGAGTATTGTTGCTTTTTTTAAAGAGCTAACGTGAATAGAGAGAAATACTGTTAACCGATGGTACATGGAGGGGAATGTAATCCTTGTGATGAAACATGTAAGATTTGCTAAATGTAAAACTGATGTAAACCCTGTAAACTTTCACTCAATCTACAATAAAAACTTAAAGAAAATACAAAAAACAGAAAAAATTAAATAAATACGAAAAATATATAAATAAAACTGTTTTGCAATTGCAGCCTTGGTCCTCCTCCATATGAACTTCCATAAGAGCAATTGATGGTCTTTTCCTCAGTTGGCCCCTGGCCTTGCTTTGAATGATGATATTGAGCTTCTCCATTGTCTCTTTCCACTACATTGATGTAGTCAATTTACTTCCTGTGTATTCCATCTGGTGCGGTGAGGTCCATGTGTATAGTCACTTTTTGTATTGTTTTAAAAAGATACGTCATTGGTCATGCAAAGTCTGTCATACAATCTCCAGCATAATTTTTTCCAACTACTGATTGTTTCCAACCTTTGCATTCCAATCACTAATAAATTATCAATACATCTTGATTGCATGTTTAACCAATTTCAGACCGAAGAAGTTGGTAGAAATCTTCAATTTCATCACTACTGGCTTTATTGGTTGGTGTGTAAATTTGAATAATAATGGTATTAACTGGTCTTCCTTGTAGGCTGAAACCTGTCCACCATGGATGACCCTGCTGGGATTTCAAATACTGGTAGCATAGCTTCCAGAATCACAGCAACACACAAGCCACTGCAGTGTGACAAACTGACAGACGAGTGTTGATAGATTAGGTATGCAACATTTCTTCCGTTAGTATCATTTAGAAAGCCTTCTACCATTTCATATAATAATTCCTCGCTATTGTCAGAAAAACCATTAAAACACACTTTATTGTGAATTGTCGACTTCTTGTCTTTACTCATTTTTCTCTTGGATTGGTTGTTCAGGCTTTAGGATTCTGGACACTGTAAAAATATCACTCCTTTTGTCCTTCAGATAAACTTATTTGTGCTCTTTTAATGTTTTTTTCCGGGACTATAACCAGCTCTGTAAGGAGCTCTGGTAGCGTAGTGGTTATGAATCGGACTGCAAATCTCATGGTCAGCAGTTCGAAACTACCAGCTGTTCCGCAGGAGAAAGATGAGGCTTTCTGCTCCTGTAAAGATTTACAGCCTTGGAAACCCCATACAGGGTCGCTATGAGTCAGAACCAACTCCACAGCACATCACAACAGCAACAACATAACCAGCTCTGTGGCTGCATTCAGTGAATATTGAACTGCAAACCACAAGATTGGTGGTTAGAGGCCAACAGCAGCTCCTCAGGACAAAGAGGAGGCTTTCTGCTTCCGCAAACATTACAGCCTCGGAAATCATATACAGGGTGACTATGAGTCAGAACCGACTCCACAGCGCTTAACGACGACAAACAGCGTAACCAGAATTGGAACGCCACAAGAACTAAGGAAGCTTTCTCTCCAGCACAGTTTCTCTTAGAATACCTGAGCATCTATATTTACCACCCCCACCCGGATTTGTTACTTTGCCCTTACTTTGTTTACTGAGCAGATTTCT